ATCCACATTCTGACTAGATCGAAATACAATTGTAACAGGTAAATCAAAAAATTTGTAACATGGCACTTTAAAAAGGTGTACCGGTATGCATTTCATTTGATTACATTACGAAAATGGTCTATTGAGAGAATTTTGTGGCCTCATATGTAGACAAAACCTCAATTGACCCATGGATCATTACTACAATTAAAAAATGACGCCGATTGTAAATTACCAGATGTAGGGAGGAGGGGGGCAATAATACCCCCTCCCCATTATACTGAAGCAGTTGAGAGGGTTTTTAAGGCCTTGTATGCAGGCAAGAGCTTCCTGTCTTACCCGCACATTATTACTACAATTAATACCATGGCATCCAAGATAAAAGAAGATTATTGGCAGAGGAGGGGGGGGGGGGGGGGAGGATCCTCCTTTTTGGATTGGATTGCAAGTTTATCTGTTATATTATTTGCAGTCCTCTCATGCAGACTAAACCCTCCAATCTGACTGGTAGATGTTAACTACAGTTAAATAAAGGGCAAGTCCATCCTGATATTAAATTGGTTTTAATAAAATGCTGAAAAATTAGTGAAACAAGTTAGTTAACGTGATCTCTCTGGATTGCAAGTATTTTTAGTGTTAAATCAAATCTATTGATGGGGGGGGGGGGGTCTTTATACAGGCACAACCTTCCCTCCAATCTAAGCTGTAGATTATCAATCATTTTCGGGGGAGACATTTCTATTTTGATAATCTTCAAATACTGGTGTACACTATATGAAGAACAAGAAATCTCACTAACTATTGTACATTTTTCTCTGAACTCGACCTTCCCTTTAAAGTTAAGCACATAAGAGGATTAGAAAGCCTCTTCGCAGACGAAAGCCTTCAGTCTCATCAGTAGATAATCACAGCAGTTGATACCATAGCCCCCAAGGATACGATCACCAGGTCCATGATATAACAGAGGGTGTTACCAGAGAAGGGGAGGGCCAGGTTATGAACAAAAATCTTTTGGCAAATTGGACAATCTATTGAGCTTTGATTAATGTTTACTCTTATCTGCAAACTAAAATATGTACATCATTACATATATGAGGGCTTTCTATTTTTTGTAACAATTTTGCAACTGCCTTCATCCAACAACCTCCCCCCCCCCTCCCCCCCCCCCCTCCCCCCCCCCCTCCCCCTCCCCCCTCCCCTCCCCCAGTCAAAAGTGATTCCCTTCAATTATTTAAGCCAGCATAAGGTTTATGTGCTTCACTTGGTACAACTTATTTTAGATCATGTTTTTTTGTTGTTCTTTTTTCTTCTTTGTTTTGTTGTTATTGTTTTTTATGGGGGACTTTGGAACTTTCAGACCATTACCATGATACCCATACACTCAAGGATAAAATGACAATAGGGCATAAATATCTGTCCTATCAATAAACATTACAAAGCTTTAACACCCTACCTGCGTTCAATAAATTATGTGTTTACTTCATCATCCTTTACCAGAAAGTGAGTATTCTATGAACACAATATGCTACCCTTTTTTAATAAGGGAAAGTTTTGATTAGTTTGAACCCTCTTCTTGGTCTATTCAATTTACGATAGAGGATTAATACTCCAAGTGGCATTCCGGTGCCACGAGAGTGAAGAGTACCCCTCATAGAAATCTGTGCAAGCTTACAAATTAGCAGCGAGCAGCGAGTTTTAAAAATGAGATCATTCTAATATAATTGGTGCAGATGCAAATTGAATGTCTAGCCAGAAAGGGGAGCCGAAAAAAACAAAACGGGGGGATTTATGCAGATTTCCTTTGAATACATTTCCACTTTGGACTGATGAAAAGCTGAATGCATCAATCCTGTTGGATAGTTAATCAATAGTCAACCAGGGGGGATTTTGTTCATATAGATTTTCACTATGGGCAAATTAAAAACTTAGTGCAATTCATTCAATTGTAGTATTACATGCATGTAAAATTCTATCAGTTGACTGAATTGGTTGATCAACGCTACTTCAGGATTTCCTATTGGAAAAGTGGGATTTCCTCATACCTTTTTTTTGTATACTTTAAATAAAAAAATTCATTGTACCTGTATTATTTTATTTTTTTTGGTCTGATTTCTGCTTCTTTAATTGATTTAGTGGAGTGACTCGGTCCAGAAACATATACCATTTCATAAATTAGGCTACAACACATACATGTAGGTCTTTACTTTAAAATGTCATCACCTAAATAATGAATATTATCTTCTTAACTAGTCAAGTGCAATTAATTTTTCTCCTGGTACACAATGCCCTGGGATAACAGCTGTGAAAGTTTGTTGAACCAAGCGTTATGTGTCCGTGTCAAGGTTCCAACAGCATGATGGGTATATATGAAGGCACTATGTATATCAGAATCCATTAATGTTATCATTACTGTTGTAATTGGAGGGGGGGGTGTAATATAATATACAACCTGCATAGAATGACCACCTGGCTTCAGTGGTCACTTATTCTATGCCCTTTAGGTTTTCTTAATATACAGGTTTGCACGTATATTATCAACAACACATTGTTAGTGTGAGGTAAACATGTTTGTGTTTGTTTGACCATTTGAAACATCCAATGTGAGGCAAGAAAAGAAGGAAGTATATGTATATTACATGTACACATGTAGTAATCAAGGAGGAAGTGAAGTGTTGGTGTAACTTCGGGTCTGTGTATAGTGTATGGCTAGTTTATCCATGGTGGTAGTATCACAACCAGGAAAATGATTAAGTATAATTACATAGGCTTACAGTGATTTTATGATAGTTTCTGGTTGGTTGGCCTCAATATCGGTAAACAGTGTAGATCCAGCCCAATAAATCATCTATGGGAATGAACAGAGCAACTAGCCTAGAGGTCATTATGAATGATAAAACTTCATATTTCTCAAACCATTGAATACAGACTCATGAGAAGCATTCAAATATAGTTAAATTGCATTGATCACCCTGAACCGAAAGAACGTTTGAGTGATTAATTTGTACATGTATTTGTTTTAAATACCTCAACTTGACACAACCACACTATTGCAATGGTACATAGTTTGGCGGAACTCAATTATCTGCATAACTATATCTTTCTCCAAGGAAATGGGTCTACCTTCAAGTCAAGAAGTAAAAAAAAATGAGAGCAAATGCAAATGCAGAGATATAGCTAGCAGATAAAAGCCTCTTATTAGCTACCATCCCGGAACTGATGGCTAAGCCAAAAAGTGTGCCTGGTAATTGCTCATTTTATAGGTCAGCATTTATGCTTGTTAGATGACAGGATACGAAATGGATACCCACAAGAATATGATAATGCTGGATATCTGTAGACGGTTTTAGCAGGAATATGCTAAATAACATGGGGGCAGTGGTGTTTACCATAAAACTTTGGAGCACCAGGAGTGTCATGTCTGACAGACGTGAACGCTAAACAAGGACCCACTATTATTATTGATGTCTATTTTAAGCATTTGCCTTCTTGGCTTTAATTAAATTGAAATAGAATAATCTTGGAATTGAAAATTAAAGCTTGCATGTGAGCAAAGCCATGGTACAAAGTCCACATAGACTAAAAGATACATATTCAAATCAATATATCATTATTATCTGTAATTTGAATTTAGAATTATATGAAAGCTTTGTAAGTGGTACTGTATACACATGTAAAGAACAGGATAAATGATATTGACTTTATTGAGACATTTCAAGAAATGTAATCTCTTATAATTTCTCATTTGTAATTTTGAAAGAATGAATGAAACCAAGTACTGAAGACTTAGACATCGTTTCTCTCACTGATAAACACATTTTGAATGAATTTGTAGCGAGTGTCCACTCTATGTAGTAAATTTGGAGGATAATCCATAATATTCCCATTCTCGAATTGAAACTGAATTACATGATATGCTAACCCTTGTACATTATACCTCATTTTTTTGTTGTTGCAAACTTCTTCTTAATTCATACCACGAGACAAGGAAGTAGATGTATTTATGAAGTGTAATACATGTCAAGGAATAGCGTATCATGAAATTGTGATATCATGTTATCACCATTTATTTACTTAAACCGTACCTGTACTAAAACAATTCATGTCACAGATAGATGTGGAAAGGGGCAAAGGCTATAGTTCTAGATTAAAAGGATGTCTGACAATACCAGTCTTCCTGATAAATGTATCATCATTAGATTAATACAATTTTATGAGTTTTAATTGTCATTTTGTTTATAGAACACCTCCTTCTCATTCGAACATGTCTGGACTTGAGCAAATTATTTGGAATTTTCAGAAACCTCCATTGTACTTTTAAGTGCTATGCAAACTCTATCAAATATAGCCTTACATGAACCATGCATGATCTTTGGTACACCTGTAAAATTGCGTGTTTAGAGCCAGAAGGGCATTACCTCTGTGTTTAAGCATATGAGTCACTGGTAATGATCTTCTGTCTCCAAAACAGGCAACATTATATTGGATGAGAATGGGGGTTAACACGGGTGCCACTAAACAATTTAGAATGCGAGGTGTCCGGACATAACTATCCCCCCCCCCCCCCCCCCGAAAAAAAAAGGGAAGAAAAAAAAATCAAAATTCTACAGGACTTATCAATATATATGAATATACCTGTATTTATTTACAAATCTTTATTCAAAGAGATATATAATTTTCGAAGCGTTAGAGAGAAAATAGATAACATTGATATCTTTAAAGAAAGGAATGCAAAATAGAAAGCCAGAGAGAGAGAGAGAGAGAGGGGGGGGGGGGAGAGAGAAAGAGAAAGAGGAAGAGAAAGAGAGAGGGGGTGGCAACTAACAACAATACTGGTAGAAATAAACTCCAGTTGAAATCCTGTTGAGCTGCACAGTTCTGATTGGCCAAGTAAAACCTTGGTTCTGGCTGTAGCCACACCCCCAGGCACGCCCTCTTTCGCATATATTATTCAAATGATCCAGGGGCCTTGCAGACTAAATATAGTCTTGGTACCTGACTGTAATTAAGTCTTCAATTTGTTGTTTGAAAGAAAACAGGAAGACAAGAATGTAGAAGGAAGCCAATCATTTGAGAAGGGCTTTTTAAAGCAAAAATTGTGTATTTTATCACCAAAAAAATGTACTGAATTTTGGTAGAATGAGATTTCTTTTGGCCAGCAGGGTTTGGCTTCTGCACTACATGGCTTGTCGGGGTCATTTTTAATGACTTTCTCTGCAGTTATGGGGACAAAAATATTTTGGCAGAAACTATTCAGTGTAGATTTCCAGAATGCAAGTGGATTTCAATGGCTGTTCGAAACAGACAATCCATTGTTGAATTAGCAGTGAGTGCATCCGGAAAATAACTTGCAGTTCTATGTAAATGCCCACTGCTTTCTTCCTACGTAGACATACATATATTTGTAAAACTTTTGGTGCACATGAAAACTTTTGTAAGTATGAGGACTGGTCCTAATTTGAAGTGTTAATTGTGCTGCCTAAGAATTGATTTAAAGATTTTTAACGTAAAAGGTGTGTGCTGTGATATTTACCCTCATTAATACTGTGCAAATGTTTTAGGTTGCTATTAATGTTTCTGGTTTATACACTAGTTTTATGTTGCTTCTAAGAAAAAATTAAATGAGAATCAGGAAGTGTGGAAAATGATGCTCCTACTAATAAATTTAATACAAAATTGTAGCTGTGTAGGTCTAGGAAACTGGTTTCATCTTTCATGGCTTATCAGTAACCAGTTATCCTCTTGTTTAGTTAGAAGGTATTGATCACCTCATAGACATTTGAGTAATTGAGATTAGACAAGCATAACAAGTGCATATTTGCACAATTATAGGCTGGCCTACATATACCTGTATACATTCATGCATTAGGCAGATTATGACTATCAAAACTTGAGCCAGATATAGAGGCATTCCCATTTATGGCCTTCTCCTGCTTGTTTTTCTGCAGAAACTGAAACCGCTATCAACTTGAAGATTTACTGGTAGCTTTCTTTTTATAGACAGACAGGCAGGGGTTCTGCTGTGATGTCCTTATTAGTCCTTATGTTTCTATCTTATTCTGACAGACAATTAGCATGGAAGAACTTTCACTTTCATTCTTTCAGTATTCCTTACTTCTTCAGCTTATTCATCATGTGGGAGTTGAAAAAAAATTATTTGCAGGAGTTCCTTCAAGATTTGCTCTAGCAGATATGTAAGATTTTCACAGAATTGTCTTGGGGGTGCTCCATTAATGTAAAGGAAAACAATTATTGTAGATCTCTAAATTACCCTTCACTAATCCTACCAACTTAAAGATACAGAATGGAATTCAGAAAATGCCACTTTGCAAATCTAAGAATCAGCAACCAGATAGGAAACCCGCAAGATGTAAACTCAGTTGCCCACTTCCTTTTTCTACAACAGGAAAAACAATTAGACAAGAACCAGGGGTGGTACGTGTATGTAGGAAATCAGTGGGAAAGAATAGGATTGAAAAGAAATCAATGGTAGAGTAAGCATGATGTATAGAGGAAACCGATCTGGGTAAATTCTGTTACGCTATCTTATCATGCACAACCAGAACCAGGTATACTTCCTGCTTTTTTACGTGACTGGTTTCCAACTAACCCACATTGATTATATAAAAAATATTTGTCGCTCAGCTTCATATGCCTTGTACAAGATAGGTGGTATTAGAAATTTTCTTGATAAAAAATCTACCGAAACGCTTATACATGCATTTATTACAATTACATGCCGTCTTGATCAATGCAGCAGCCTTCTTTATGGCCTTCCGGAGTCGCACATTGCAAAACTCCAGAGAATCCAAAACTCTGCTGCCAGGCTTGTAACACGCACACGTTCTTGTGAACACATCACCCCAGTACTTCGCGAATTGCATTGGTTGCCGGTGACGTACTGCATTATGTACAAAATCTTAGTTTTAACTTATAAATGCATTCATGAATTGGCACCAATTTATCTGCAAGAATTAATCGAGGAATACAAACCCTCACGCAATTTACGGTCATCTTCACAATTAAACCTCGTATCTACTTCTGTGTCAACTCTCTCTTATGGTAATCGCTCCTTTCGCAAAGCTTCTGCTGAACTTTGGAACAAATTACCTTTAAATGTAAAAAACTGTCAAACCGTTAACCTATTCAAAACTAGTCTCAAGACACATTTATTCAAAATTGCGTTCGATGATTAATTATCTCTGTTCACTTTGATGTGTATTCCATATGTATTGTTATTTGTAGGTTTATTTGCATTTTTAGTTTTGTATAAGATGTAATTGTATATCAGTCTATTTTGTGTGTATAGCGCTTAGAGACTTCGGTGGTAAGCGCTTTATAAGTAACGTTTTTATTATTATTATTATTATTCAGACAAGAGAAATTATTGGTATAGCAGTATTTAGCTATTCAATAATTAATTTTAAAAATATGTATATTTTGAACCATTATTGTATCTGTCATATATAGTGAAACAGAAGTTTGAGCATCATTTCTAGCAAAAAGTCATGAAATCAGGGTACAGTGTCTGCATGGACATTGTATGGAAAGAAATCTGATTGTGATATCATGTTGATATGCCAGGCAAGCTATCAGCTTGTTTCTTTAAAGATAAACTTTAGTACTGGTAATGCGATTGCATTGTGAAAGAAAAGGTGTGGAAAGGATCAGAAACAGTTGATCCTGTAGCATGTAAGTATTGGTGTGCACTGCAAGGTTCTGGAGTCATCAAAATCATAATAAATTTGACCGAGTCTTGGTAAAGTAACAAGCACTCACATAGAAAGCTATATATGGGACAACACACATGGTGTCGGGGCTAGTACTACCTTGATTTCCTTGTCTTTCTATGCTCATTACTCAGCCAGTATACATTTTCTTCCAAAATTGTTTGGCACATGTCATTTATTTGTAATGTTGAACATTCAGTGTAAGTTTCGTTTGATTCTGTGAGAATTATTATTTTCTTTTTACCAGTACTGGAGTTTATCTTTAATGTCCATAATGTTAGCTATGTAGCTAACATTATGGACATATGTTGTGAACTGACCTGTTTATACAATATTTGCTTCATGTAAATGCCCCCTTTCAATATATACATGTAATCTTTTTAGAACCAAAAGGACATTAAGTCTGTGTTAAAGCCTCACTGTACTACTCGTAGCTACTTGCTCCCTCTAGAAAACAATGCCTAATCAGTCACCATTGGTCCCCCATGATCCTCCTTTTCTTATGTTAATTGAAAGCTGAGTTGATGAGATAACCAAATGTCAGTAACCACCCTGGGTGGTTTAATCCTTCCTAGCCAAACTAGTACAGACAGCCTTTAAAGTATTAGCTTTGGGTTAACACCCTTCTGGTTCAAAACAGACAGTATGACATTCCATAATTTGAATATTTTTATTTAATTATAAATACAAGTTTGGTATAAATGTTCTCTAGTGTGAATGCCCTAGAGCTCACTGCAGCTGCAGTGGGGCAGAAGCAGTCCTGAGCACAAAGGGGAGGATTAATGGGAAAACTGTTTGTTTGTCAGGCCACCCTTTTATGGCGTTTAAAGGCCCACTGCACTACTTGTAGCTACTTGCGCCCTCTATATAACAAACAATGCCTAATCGGTGACCATTGGTCCCCCATGATCCTCTTTTTCTTATGTTAACTGAGAGCTGAGTTGATGAGATAACCACCTGTCCAGTGACCTTGCAGGGCAGTCTAATCCCTCCTGTAAACTATGGCAGATAAGCTTTAAAGGAAACAATGTTGATTTAAGTGAAGATATTAAATTTTAAATGGTTTGAAATAGCTTCAGCCTTTTCACACACAGCTAAAATTCTATAAACATGATTAGTATAAACGTGTTTGAAACGTGTTTAAATTAATCACGAGCCTTTCACACACAGAAATTTCGTTGCGATCGTTAATAGTTTCGTGATTAACTACTGCTCGTAAAATGCGCAGTAGTGCCATTGCGCATTGAAGGTCATGTCATATCAATCAAAGCGCACGCTCCATCCAGTTTAAACACGTTTAAACACGAATTTCCTTTCACACACAAAATGTCAAGCTCTCTAGATACGAACTTCGTATCTGCAGCCTGCTTTTAGGGGCGTATGGATCGCGACTTCGTATCTATCCCAACATCGTATAAACGATGTTCACACTGGGAAATTTTGTCTATAAACATGTTTAAAACTGTTGAGTGATTCTAATCATCTCTAGATACGATGAATTTTAGCTGTGTGTGAAAAGGCTGCTTGTCCCGTATTCCGATACAATGTAATTAAAATATCTCTCACTAGTGCTCAAGAATTGGTGTGGTTTTGGCATTTATGTGTGAAGATATTGTAACTCTACTTCCTTGTAGAAATAAACTGTCTTTGTATTGTATCATTCCATTCTTGAATTTTCAAATGAATTCCAATATTTATATTTTTGAAAGTCAACTGGTTCAAGGGCCTAATATTTCAGATTTTTTATTTAGACTTCCTTGATATTTTGCAGCATCAATTGCTTAGAAATATTTCAAAGTAATAATGCCATATTCAAGTTTTCTTCAGCTAGAAATATATGATAGCATTGTAAGGACATGTGTCAATTTAGATCAGCTTTTGGAAAGGCAGAATAGAAATGGATGTGTGATAAATATTCCTCATTTTAATAAATTTTGTAGCAGCACATTTCGATTTCTGAAAGATCATCATTAAAAAGCCTAATAAATCATTACTCATTAGATACCGAAATTGAAATGTGTAGATCTGCCACTGATTCCCTAATTAGTGGTTGAGTTAATTGTCTATATTTCACTTTCATTTCTAATAATTAACTGACCAAATATTAATTACTTCTCTGTTATTATTACAATGAATACTTTCACTATTTTTACGAACTTTCATTTAGCTTTACAAAAAACATGAAAGTGCAAGTCTAATACTGCAAGAGAAAATGAAACTGTTATAGTGGAAAAAGGAAATAAATGTCAAAAAATCCATTTGTCATGTTTGTTAGTACTTTTAGTTTGCAAGTTTCTGAAGTGCTTACTGACATGCTAACAGGGCTTGGGGGGAGGGGGTAAAATGAATAAGCTTTTCTTATTTAAAGCAAAAGAAAGATTACATTTTATATCTAATCAAATTAACCATTTGCCATAAGGCCTAAAATAAAAACTTGTTGTATTGCCCTTTGCGACCGACCCAAAAATCTGAAAATCTACGGTCGGCATTTAATTTTTTTTTTTTTTAAACTGCTTTTTAGAATGTTTTGTATTAATGAATAACAAAATATGTATTTTGTTTGACATAGGATATAAAAGCATAAGATCAAATTATTCTAAAAACAATCTTCACATTGTTAGCAAGTTTTACAGGTAGTTGAAAACCAACTTCGTCAGCAGGAAAGCACAGTGTGTTGTCTCGACACAACATTGCAAACCATGGA